GACATGGCTAGGAAAAGCCAAGTTTTTTGCCTACGTTTTAACTCGAAAACAAAGCAAAAACCAGTGACAAAAATACAGAACCACGTTTTTCTATTACATCGAAGACCACTTGCAAAAATTCAGCTAATTTCGAGCAAAAAAAAAGAAAAGCAACCAAAATCGTCACTTATCCCCTTTTATGACTAGCTTCTTCACATATCCAGGGAAATGAAGAGGTCAAGCTCACGCGATATGCTGATGACACAACTGCCCTTCTTGCTGATGCCCAGTCAGTGTCTAATTTATTTGACTTACTTTCACTGTTTGAAAAGTGCTCCATGGCCTAAAAATAAATCAGGCAAAATCAGAAATGCTATGGCTTGGCTCCATGCGCCATAGGAAAGACGCAATTTGCAACCTCCAAATTAGCGATGATCCTGTTTACACGCTCGGTGTGCATTTTACTTACAATATTGAATTGTCTCATAAGAAAAATTTCTTTGAAAAATTAGGATCCCTAAAGAAAACCTTAAGTGTCTGGTCCTGAAGAGACTTATCTATATACGGTAGAATAAATATTGTTAAAACATAAGCCCTTTCCAAACTTGCATTCATCTTCAGTGTTATGGAAACTCAATAAAAAAAAATAAAATAGTGTTCGATTTTATGTGGAAGCAAAAACCTGCCAAAATAAAAAAGACAACCCTCATCAAGAAGAAATCAGATGGCAGTCTTGCCCTGAAAGATTTTGTTCTTTTCGATAAGCCTTTGAAACTAACTTGGGTAAAACGGAGCCCTGTGCTCCAACTCAGATGCACCGTGGAAGGCCCGTGGAAGTGTGTTCCAAAATCATCTCTCCCTACTGTCAGCGGCACTGAGTTCTTTCAATGTAATTACGGCTACAACCTTCTTGATCTTAAAGGCCATCTTCCTGAATTTTACAAACAAATTATTCATTGGCAAGAAATCGTGTCTACAACACCTCACAGCACGACACCTCACAGCAAGACCGAGATACTGTCCCCGACAATCTGGAACAACAAATTCATTGTGACTGACAAAAAATTGTATATCTGCCTCATTGGCACCGAGCAGGTATAAAGCAAATTTCAGACCTTTTTGACGAGCATGAAAATTGCTTCCTGTCTTTCCTTTCCTTGTACAATAAATACACGCTAAATGGCAACTTTTTACAATATCATGGTCTTATACCCGCGATCCCTCAAAGTTGGAAGAAGCTCCTTGACGTTAATTCTGGCGGCTCTACTACACCCCCGCCGCCAATCTGTACTATAACGTGCAAGATGTTATATGACAAACTGTTAACCTTAGAAAATCCTCCTCCCACTTCAGAAGAAAAAGCTCTTATCATACGGCATCGCAAAAGAGAATCTAAATAAAATTTATCTTCTGCCATTCACAGCCACAAAAGAAGTTAAATTGGCAATGTTCCAGCAAAAAATTAGACACAACATTTTAGCCATGAACAGTATATTATACAAAATGAACAAGGTTGCCTCCTCATCCTGCCCTTTCTGCCCCTCTGATAGTCAAAACATACGTCATTTGTTTATTAGCTGCCCGCAAGCATCTTCCTTTTGGTATAAGTTCCAAAGTTGGTATTCTACCTTAAGTAACGGGGGTTTACTTCTCTCCAAGCCAGAGGTATTATTTGGAATTACTCGTCCTCGTACTCACTGTTTGACCCTCAACCACCTCATAATGCTAGGCGAATACTTTCTTTATATCAAGGTGCTAAGTAATACTACGTTCGTTTTCAGCCACTTCATCTCATTAGTGCAGGATAAAATCAAGATAGAAAAATATATTGCTGCCACATTGAATGGTGAAAGGGAATTTCAACAGAAGTGGAAATTCCCTCTTACCATTTAGGGCATTTCCCTCAGTAATTTGTTGCAAGGTTTTTTTTTTTTCTATAATTAAGTAATTACATATTGTAACTCCTTAAGTAACGTAATGTGTAAGTCATAACAAGTAATTATTGCATATTGTAAATAAGTAAGGTAATGCCAAGTATTGTAAATAGGTTTTTTTTATGTATTGTAAGTGACGTTTGTAAGACAGTAAAAGCATTAGAAATAATAATAATGATAACAATAATGTAGTG